GCCATATCATATTGAAAGACCAGTTCTCGTGCGACCACTTACGTTAAGCAACGTCGAGTCTGGTCAGTACTTAGATGCGTGACCGCTTGGGAATACCAGATGCTATAAGCTGTGATGCGCGGGCGGTGTAATGGTTAAAAGCTCGTAATTTGAAATCGGAGAGCCGAGATCCAATTCCACTTACGTTCGTTATATTCACCATTGGGAAAGATATGAATGCACCTATACTCCACCCTAACAGCTATGAGATAATTAGTAAGACTTTCATCAGGAAATCATTATCATCTCCAAAAAAGTAATTCAATCAATATCATTTTGAACACTTATACCAAAAGCGATGATGAAGAAACTTTGCGTGGCTCTTCGGCCTATGTTCGACCAGGGGGAAAAATTAAGCAAACAGACACAACAAGTGCAGCATATGAGTAGATGTTAGTTAGGGAATTAATTCAAGTTGAAATGATTTCCAGACGAAACTATACTACATCAGGTGCCTCCTCGATGGCAGTGTAAAGATAAAAGTATTTGTGTGCGCAACAAATCTCTTTGCACATATGATTGCGTTTTATGGGTATATATTTTAATATCAAGGAGATGATAATATAGATATATACATACGTATACATAAGGATATTCGCACACGTATACACACACATACACACACGCACATACACACATACATAGACACGCGCACGAAAAGCACAGTATATTGAATTCTCTTGGGTACCCAGAGGCGGTGTAATGGTTAGCTAGCTTGTCTAGCTAGAACAATTCCAACAGAGTAGTGAGTTCAATCCTCACAAGGTGCCCCATACTTGTGCCACATCTAAGCTACGCTTGGAAAAGCTCAGTGTATTTAATTCACTTGGGTACCCCGAAGCGGTGTAATGGTTGGCAAGCTCGCTAGAACAATTCCGACTGAGTAGTGAGTTTCGATCTTCACTGGGTGCCCCATACTTTCGGCCTTGTGTCACATCTAATCTACGCTTGGAAAAAGCACAGTATATTTAATTCACTCTATCAGTGTGGCTCTTGTTTTATTACCAAGATTAAATTTATTGCTGATGATAAAAAATTAAAAAAAATTATTTTCTAAATAAAAGCGCCCTTCTATATTTTTAAGAATTTTTTTTCTGCGTTGCTATTAGAGTTTATGCACAGAGGCACATATGTATACATGTTTACGCGTATGTGTGTATTCGTGTATTTATGCATATGTGTATGTGTGCATCTGTCTGTAAAAATGTTTGTCTGTTTGCGACGCCGGTCATTCGTAGGCATAGTAATTCTGATGCTCTCTCTCTCTCTCTCTCTCTATCTCTCTCTCTCTATCTCTCTCTCTATATATATATATATATATATATTTATATATATATATATATATATTAGTCAGTTTATCGAACTGAAAATCTATCTCACAAAATTTTCAGTTTTGTAACTGTAGTGGATGAGTGTTTAACAGAAATTATTTTTTTTCTGATATATGAATTTGTGCCTATATCATTTTGCGTATATATATTGTCATTACAGACACACACATATGTTTGCATGTGTGTGTGTGTGTGTGTGTGTGTGTGTGTGTGTGTGTGTGTGTGTGTGTGTTAGATAACGTATTCCTTTTATATAATCGCCTTGTCTTGGATTAATGTTTAATAGCTTTGTTTGCTTTGTTTAATACGACTGAACTATGGATTCGATCCTCACCAGATGTCTTATACACAATTCAGTATTAAATAACTCAACATGGATTGGCACGTGAAATCAGCCAATATATATTTATGCAAATCCAATTTTCTTATATCACTATATTAACAGAAGAAAAATGATTTCCATAGCTATAAAAAAAACGTCTTTGTATTTAGCAACAATCACCAAAGCTGTTTTGTCATTACGTTGAGAATAACTCACAAAATCTGACAACAGATCATAGTTGAATTATTGGGACCAGTCATGCCGACAATTTTAACTATAGTCCATCGGTGCTCGTACTGAAGCATTTTCACTCGTGTATTTTATCATTAGCAAACTAACTACATAATCTCTCCTTGATGCAATTTTTTAACATTCTATAATCAATGTTTTTCAGATCGATTCTTCTTAACCGATTTGGAATTTATTTATGAATCATGGATTCTGCCGAACTGCTCATCAATTATGAACCGTCAGTTGGACAAAATGAGCCAAATCCCTTCAAATCCTCTGCCCCACAATCTGCTTTTCATCTCGACCAGTTTTCCGTCATTTTATATAAAATGAGCTCTGTCATTTTTTTTTCTGAAATACGTTTATTGCCAAATTCAACATTTTTGGAATGCAAAATTCCCTTCTATTTAGAGAGGTCTTCGAAAAGAGTTGACGATCATTCATGTCTTTGGAATCTCGCCAGTAAATGAAATTGTCAAATATCTTTCATATATAGATTTTACTTACTATCAGATTATATTATTTGCCTACTTGTACAATATAAATGAAGGGAAGTTATCGAGAGAAGTAGAGACAGAGCAAGAAGCAGGCATAGAGACAGAGAAGGAACCACAGTGCAGGCCAGCCTATCGAAATTGTTGTGTAATGTTTCATTTAATTTTATATGTAGATCTGTAATCTATATTTTGCTATTTTTTCATTCATTTATTCCTATCTTAAACTTAGGATTCAGTATTAATAATTATTATAGATTCTCGAATAATTGAAGTTAATTACATAATACATAGTACTTGGTCGCTTGAATGAAGAATAATCCGAATAGAGTTTTATCGTAATATGTATCTACACTTGCGTCCTTGTACTAGAGTAAGCTAACTACTTAAACTACAGGGAGTAAGCATTAATGTAAGTGTTTAAAACAGTAGGGATTTGTTTTAAAAGCCCATCGCTACTAAATTTTGAATTTCGTTATTGCTATATTAAAGTAAGCTGGCCTAACTAGAACTAATTATAATGAAGAATTTAATTTTTAAAGTATTCGTAGAAACGAATAAATAAGTGCTGGACTATTATTTAATATCAATTATTCTACATGGAAATGGACATTGGATAATTTCTCACCGATGAACAGGATGTTTGAGGCAAAAATTATGTGGTTCTACAGAAAGATGCTGAGAAGGTAAGCAACTCTAAAGAAAATGGAAACAAAATGTACACCTTTGTTTTGAATCAAACGGAGGTAGTTCACATTTCTAGGACACGTATTGAGGAAAGAGGACATAGAAAATGTGACACTCAAAGATATATATAGAGATAAGAGGAACAGGCAGTGGCGATTCTAGAACTCTGAAAGTGGGGGGCACTTGGGGGCCGAGTTTTTTCTGCGGATGAGGGGGAGGGGGGCGATTCAAGCAGCGTCTTTATTTTCCTACTACCCCACTATCATATACACAACTTAGGAATGAGTTTGAGTATAAGTATGTTACTTCACTAAATTAAGCAGAATAACTTTTCATTCATAGTCGTGGAGTTCTAATCTATTCTTGCCCTTTTTTCCACTCTCAAGCTGTTGGACCACAAAAGAGGGGTTAACTTCAAAACAAAATCAAAGGGTTAATACTAACGTCAATACTAGCAGAACAGTGTAAATTTGTCTGCTCTGATTTTCTTCCTCTACAAAACTTAGAAAAGTGGTGGGTACAACTGACGGGCCAGCCAAAATTCTGATAGGGGCACTGGCCCCATTCTCCCCGGCACCACCATAGAATCGCCCCTGGGAACAGGGCGATAAAGTGTAACCTACCTAATACGCTTTGGTAAATGGATCACAGAACAGGGACTGGGAGAGATAGCAAGGAAACAATCATTGCTTAGAGCAGCAAAAGATCGGAAGTTATGGAGAAACCAGGTTCTGGGTTTTTTTAAATTCATGCCAACTCATTACTTATCCCCCCCCCACCAATCTGGCAACTCCTGTTCATCCAACTCTATGCCGTCAACTTCAGATAAAATGTATTGTTGGTCATTTTGCTATAAAATGTATTCTTGGTAATTTTACTATAAATGGGTATCGTTGGAAAATTTACTATAAATAGGTATCGTTGGTAATTTTTTTTTTTTGTATAAGTATGTATTGCTGGTAGTTTTACTATAAAAAAATATTTTTATACTTACATAGTTGCTTTTGTCTTGGGGTTAACTTTTCGCCCATAGCTCGGACCACCGCGAGTAAGCGCATAGCTGGGAAGAACAGCAATTAAGAGGTGATTCTACGCTCCTCAAAGCCTTCAACCTCCCGATCAGAGGGCCTACTGCCGATATACCCAGGACCCCCCAAATTATGGTCTTTTGATGAACTCCGCTTACTAAGTAACTGAATCTGATATACACCGTACAGTTAATCTAGCAGAAAATTACGTTTGTGCAGTACGTTCGATAACTAGTGATTGCCTACATTAATATCTTTGTGTCAGTTTACACACATGTTGACGTAATGTTTAGTGAATACATGCTATGCACTGTTCTTGATTGAACAATCAGTCTTTTTTTGGTAATACAGTTGCAATAGAGTCTTGAGAAAATCAGCAAAAGGCGATGTTTATTTACTCCATTACCAGATTGTGTGTTCATACATTATATGCCAGCGACACTAAATTTTAACATTTATAAGTACAAATCCATTAGAAAAAAATATATTTATTATCTGCAAACTAAAATATAATTAAAGAATTATGTGTTATTCAACATGTTTCAAGTAATAGAAAATTCTATATTCAATACGTCATAGGATATTCGAATGTATAAATATGGACAATCCGCTTGGCCTCGTGCCATAATTCTATGTAAAAGTAAAATAAATACAAATGTGGACAATCTGCTTACTTCCGTTGGACAATCTGTGGACTCTTCCGTTGAAGTATATATATATATATATATATATATATATATATATATATATATATATATATATATATATTAGGGCGTCTAGATAATCCCTGTTGCAGACGCTCGCTCAGGTGGCACATTTGTGTTTTACACTGCAACTATGCTGAGCAGACCTTAATTAGAGTTTCTGGGAGAGAGCGTGTTATCTAACGTGATCAACAAAATGAACAAAGCCAGTACATTCGAACCCTCGATCACGATGACTTGTGATTTCGTGCTAGCACAACCTACTGACGGC